GTTTGCATTTACATCTGTGTCGGTTTTTATGCATTTACATCTGTGTCTGTTTGTTTGCATTTACATCTGTGTCTGTTTTTATGCATTTACATATGTGTCTGTTTTTATGCATTTACACTGTGTCGGTTTTTTTGTATTTACATCTGCGTCTGTATTTTTTTAAATCTATCAGCGGATGGCGGTTGATTGGCAAAGACAAGAAAAGCAATTCAAGCAAGCAGAAGGATCCACAGGACGTCGACATGTGCAGCCAATCAGATACCACTTTGCTCACGGCATACGATGCCACTGACCAATCAATAGCCGACTACAGCACACCGCAGCCACAGACCAAACGACGTACATCCAGCAGAAAGCGCGCCAAGTCCAAAGGAAAGGGTAAGCGAAAAGATGGGGGTGGGAAAGGGGCAGGGGCTGTGGGCTTATTTAGGGGACAAAGAGAGACAGAGTGGTAATGGGCAACCCAGTGTGTGGGGTTGAGTCGCATGACAATGTGTATGTGTGTGGGTCTGCCTAAAGTCACTATCCGCAGCACAATCGGAAGTATCAAAGCTATCACGCGTTAATCTTATACAACCACAGTCTTTAACCGCATTTTAACCACATCCGCATATATGGTCTAATCCAGCCACATCCACATCCATAGTCTAAATAACCACATCCACATACGTAGTCTAAATAACCACATCCACATACATAGTCTAAATAACCACATCCACATACATAGTCTAAATAACCATATCCACATACATAGTCTAAATAACCACATCTACATACATAGTCTAGATAACCACATCCACATACATAGTCTAAATAACCACATCTACATACATAGTCTAGATAACCACATCCACACACATAGTCATAAGTAACCACATCCACAGGTATATGCCGCTTCTGTATTTTCTATCCCTGCTTGTTCATTGACCTCCTCTCCTTTTCCGTGTGCATCGCATCCCGTGCCGTGTGGCAGGTGATGCCACTCCGCTGCTTGCGCAGGCCATTGATGACTGCCCCTCAGACACGTCCGCTGGCCCTGGCAGAAAGGCGAGTGTAGTGAGCATTGCGAACTTTCTCAACACCACAGAGCCCGCCCCCAGCGCAGGTCCCGCTTTTGAGAAATCTGATCCCGCTTTGTGCTCCGAGTCGTTGTCGTCCGGTGTTTTGGGTCCACACAGTCAGCCTCTGTCTGGGGCCTCAGCGAAATGTAACAATTTAAAACAATGCGACAGTGTGGTCACTATCCACACAACAGAGCCGTCAGGTATATCTCTAGTGCCCATCGGTGTGGGTAGGTGCATGCAACGGGATACGAATACGTATACAGCTGAGTTTGTGTGGGTGG